AATTTTTTTCCCTACCTGATAAAAAGGTGTCAGTATCCAACAAGTCTGGTTTGAATAAGTCGTCCTTTACACATCTAAAATTTGAGATGAAATATATAGAATTAAAAAAATTAAAGACACAGTTCACTTTAATTCATAGAAACGAAGCATAGAAATGCTAAATTCATTGAAACAGCATTGTAAAGTTCCTCTTGCACCAATTTTTTTGAATAAACAGGAAATATAGAAACCTCTCCGGTGTGGATGATTGTGGACCCAACTTTGTGCCCTTCTGAGTCTCTATAATGTTACATGGGCCCAGCATCATTGGTGAAGCCGACTCTTTTCTGCTGGGCAAACATGCCCAAAGATGAATCACAAACCAGTGACCTACAGAAACAAGCAATCCCGTCAGGAATGCACTCAGGAACTTCAGATTTGTAACTTGCTCAAAGCTTGTACCCAGGGACAGAGTGAGCAGCAGCACACTGAGGCTGCTGAGGTCCAGAGCCGGCTGCTGGTTGACCTCAGCTGCTGCATTCAGAGGAACCACCAGGAGCAGCATGGCTCGAGAGAAAACCGGACAGCGCAGGAACGTCAGAAGGACCGCACACAATATGAAGTAGGCCGTGTGTGCGACACAGGTCCACATGGCTGTTATATTTAAACCTGCAGGAAGAAGAAACATACGTTCAAGAAAACCTGATTTTATACTGATCTTATATGCTAAATCACTTGTGCACATCAATCCCACACGGGTGTAAGTGGAAAAATAAAAACAATGAGCATCATTCCAAAAAAAGAAAATTAAAAACAAACCACTGGACTAAAAAAAATTTTGTTTTAAATGTTCTTTTTTGGAATGACTATGACCTGGATGATTGAGAATCTTCACCAGCACAATAAAGATCACTTAGATGAGTGGGAAAGAAATTAAATTAGTTAAAAATCAAAAAATGATTTTCAATTTAGTAACCTTTTCCTCCTTTTAGGAAGAAAAAAATTCATATAATTTGCCAACCAGGACAAGATTAATGTTATCAGAATGAATTTGACCTGATGGGTATAAGATGAATACTTTTTTTTTTTCATACATATGTATAATAAGTGTTTTAACCCTGTAATGCCAAACGTATCGTATTTGATACATACGGTTTCTGAAATGTTTTGCGTCTGACACCTTTTGCATAATTTTATGGTAAAAACTTTGCTCAAAATCCTATTGTACACAATCAGATATACCTGATAACAGAGGGCAGAAGACTACACAAAAAATAATCTTGACTTATCGCATAGTGATAAATTATTAATATCAAAAATGTAGTTCTGTTTTTTCTTTTTACATATTTTGTTAAAAGGCCAAATAAGGACTTAAAACCAAAAAAAGTTATTTTCTGTTTTGTTTTATTCTTGGATCGGGCTTTAAAGGGTTAAAGACAGGAGTGAAGTTTTATTTCAGTATTTCAGTATCATGGTCCACTCACCTGCCCAGCCAAGGTAGCTCTGGATCACATGAAGCCTCTCCTCTATGCGATGCTGCATGTTATCCAAGTAGTGCAGCATGGCTCCCAGTGTGCTGTTCATGCGTTCCAGTTTATTCATCAGGTCGGTGTAGTACTGGGAGGTCTGGTCCTGGTACTGCAAAAACTCAGACATGCTGTGGTCTGTTGATTCGCAGCAGCAAACAATAAATTACTAAACAATGCAGCCCAGCCATTAAGCACCATTCAGAATTACTATAAAGTTGATAAAATACCAATTTTCTGGTAGATATCCTGAGCTTGATGCCTGACATCGTTGAGTTCATCAACAATGGCCTCATGGTTGTCTTGGACCTCGGAGCTTTGGATGTGTAGATATTCACTCACGTTTTCTAATGGAGAAAAAAAAAATCTCTATTCAGTTGAACATCTGGATAAGAAGATGGCGGTAAATAAAAGCCGAGTCCTCCAGCAGTGTTAGAGTTCTAACAGTTTGTGGAAAACATATAAATAATAGTGAGCCTCTTACCCATTTGCTTTGTAATTCCCTGAATGAGCTGAGCTACCAGCTCCTGTCCAGAAGCAATCAGGGCCTTTTCCTGACCCAGGCGTTCCAGGTTTTCCTTCAACGAACTCTCCATCTGCTCCTGACCCTCGTTCAGTTTGCCCTGTTGAGACTGGAGCACGCTGTGGCCTTCCAGCAGCTTGTCCAGAGAAGCTGCAGTCAGCTCTTTCAGCTCCAGCTGTCCCACCTGGTTCAAAACAGCAAAACAAACAAAAAAAATCTCAGGATCTGGTGCTTTAGAGCAGAATGTAGAAAGCCTTAGATTGAGAGGAAACAAAAACTTCACCTTAAGGTCCTTCATTGCATCCAACTGGCTTGTTGCCGTGGAGATGAGTGAATTGACTGTGAGCTCTGCTCGCCGGCGAAACAGCTGCTGGCGAGTTGCGTAGCAAACTGAGCGCGCTCTGTTGCTCACTATGTGGTAGGCGTTCCAGGTGTCTGGGTCCATGTCTGCTGTGCATTCTTTAATCGTCTAAAACAATAAGACCATTATAAAACAAAACTTTTTTTGATTAAACCCAATTTTACAGTTTTACCATCTCCTCTGTGCATGGGAAGGTCCGGCGCCCTTCGATCTCTGCCTGGCAGTTAAACAGTTCCACTCCAAATTTGGCGAGATTTTCCTCAGAGAGGCTTTCACAGCTTGACCTTAGCTGGGCGACGACCTGCAGAAACATCCAAAAGTCAATGTCTTTTCTTTCCCGCCTTTCACCAAATAAATCAGGCTCCACCAAAAAGCATTTTCCAGATATCGTCATGGCTCCACTCATTGCAATTAGTCTGGTTCGATTAAAATGTACAAAGCCTTTATATACAAATTGACAAACTTTGTCCCGCTAGTTCTTGAGCTTACTTGGTTCTTAGAAGTACCGGTAAGCAATCCATCAAGAAAAGAAAACATTTTCTTGGAAAATGAACAATGGTAGAAAACCATGTTTACCCTGTAGTGGCAGCTGTCTAGTGGGCTCAGCTCCAGCTGCTTCGCCTCAGCTAGAAACTTCTCATCTGCGGTCATCATTTCAAACCGAGCATCTTTCGCGAGGACCGCCGGAGCTACTGGAGTCGTTGTGGTCGTCTCTGCAGGAGGAGGCTGTGATGTCCTCAACCACTCAAACAGGCCGCTGACTGCAGGACAGGCCAGCATCCAGACAGTAATCAGGAGGAGCAGATGGTAGAGGAGGTGGTGGGCCATGTCTGGATCAGAACACAGATTTAAAAGGCCTCCTTTATACATTCAAATATTTCAGGGTTCCAAGGTTCACATATTATGAACAGTCGATAAACACATTAAATCAGAGAAAGTTATATTGCCAAGCAATGTTTTACAATACAAGGAATTCTATTTGGTCATAAGGTAGCCAAACATACACCTGCATAAATAAAAATGTTTGTATTCATAAAAAAAGTTTAAATAAAATACTCTGTTTCTTTTCAAAGTGTTCAATTAATTAATATGGAGCTGTTGAGAATTACTTAATTGGCTTAATAAATATTTTCATTATCGAATGAGGAAATATGAGGTTAAAAGAGATAAAGTTGCTCTATAATCTGTACTCTACTCATCTTGAAATATGATTATTTCCCCATTATTTAAGCAGATAGGCAAGACATTTTCCCCAATGGAATAAAATGCTTTACAACCAAAATAATAAAACCCCAAAAACAACTGCTTTTTGTTATTTCCACTTTATAATATCTAATAATATTATGTAAAGTGAAAAAAGATACATATTCCTTTGGTAAATTATCAATCTGCCCGCCCAAATGAAGGAAAAACATTTTTCAAATATTTTTTTTCCAGTCTAATACTAAATCAGTTCCTCATTAGACAGGAGATGCCATAACTGATCCATTATTTGGAACATTGTATATTTACCTTTGAAATTTACTTTATTAAGTATTTAGAAATGGCAGTCAGTATTTCACCCTTTAGATCAGGGGTTAGGGTTACACCACACTAAGTGCTATTTTTCCTGCTTTTTTTGGTTCTGGACACCTGCAATTCTACTCATCAACTACAGATGGCGGTATAAATTGATCAATTATTGATTTCTGACAGATTAAAATTAATCTTCTATTCGTTAGACTCTAAATTAATTGTTTGTTTACAAGTAGAGTCAAACTCTATAGCCAAGATGAAATAAAGATGAATCCATCTGCGTATTTAAACGGACAGAGCTAAGGGGGGTTTGCCCAGACATGTTATTTCACAGTAGAACTGGGAAGGATCCACTGCCATTCATTGGTTTGCAAATGTTTTTTTTCTTTTTCCCCCTAATATTTACACTGCAAACCTGCATGTGTTAACAGTTTACCTAAAATAATTTAAAAAAAGGTTACCCTAAAATTACATTCAGCTTATTTACACTATAATTTCAAGCAATACATAGATTGTTTATAAGACATGTTCAATATAGCTGCGCCTGGAGGCAACTGCTACAGCTCCAGATCAAAATTAATGCATATTTGCATCATATATATATATTAATGCTTTAAATTTCCATATTGATGCATGTTTTTTTTCCTCCCACACTGTTAACATTAGATCACTGCTGCACTTTATGGAATGAAAATGTTCATTTACTGTCTGAAAAGCTGTACTAAAACAACATTTCGTTTTGTTTACACCCTGAGTATACAAAATTATATTTAAAGTTGTCTAAGTTTTCTTCTGTATCAAAGTAAAAGACATATGAAAAATGAGCAGGGGCTTGAAGAGGGTGTAATAAATACCTTATTTGAATTTGAGGGAAGCTCCTAAACGCGCAGGGAAAGCAAACAGTCCGGGATCTGCAGGCAATAACAGCTGATTGAGATGATGGCTAAATTTGCTCCTCAACCAGGCAACCAATCACATTAGTTGATTTCTTTTATAGGGGGCGCTCGATTTAAATACGACGTCAGCTAAAATAGGAGATGCAAAACGCTGCCTGAGATGCCACTCATTGCACCGCCCATCATAGCGGCAGGACAAAGAATAGAAATCAAACAAACTCACGAAGCAGTTCTTCTCCTCCGGTTGGTTCTTATGGATGCTAGGGGGGAGTAAACCGGGCAGACTATTTGACAATTCAAAACACAACTTTTAATTTAAAATACATTGGACTTCAGTGGTTCAGAAAAACGGAATCAGGTGAATAATAACCCCTTCGGCGTCTGATATTCTTACAAACTGAAATGACTCTGTTTTCTTGTTGTTATTAAATTAGCTAAACACGTGTGAAGGATTACCAATTTAAAATGAAAGCCCGTTTCATCCAGCAGAGGGTTTTATTCTCTGAATATGGGATGGAACTTTCGGAACATCTTTTTGAGCCGGCTAACCAGACAGTGGGAATAAATCTGCTTATGTGAGTCTTCTAGTTAGCCGCGTTAGCACATTATAAGCTAGCCTAGCCCATTGAAGCAGATTGTATGGAAGCAAATCGTCACCATATTTCAGATGAAGAAGCATTTTCAGAAATGCTTCTTCATTTTAAGAATGTGGCTGCATTGACTCATAAATTAAATTAGTAATCAATAATCCTCTTTGCATTTCCATTTTCTTCTACAAGACTGCTCATCCTTTTACTTAATTAAAATGAAAAAGAAAAAAACATTTGAGATTTATTTTTTAAAAAGGAACCCCAGCAAATAAATACCAAAATTCAATTTGAAATGTAAAATTTGAAAGTGAAAAAGCATTTCCAGAAATTCTTTTTCATTTTAAGAATGTGGCTGCATTATTTTAACCTGACAACAGCCGGATGCATGTCTCGCTCCGCCTTGCTCCAGCTAGGCGGAGCGAGACATGCATCTGGTTGTTGTCAGGTTAGCATTATTTGACTCTTGACAGTAAACCTTGTCAAGGTCAGATGAGGACAGGTGCAGCTATAGGTTGGTTTTCAGAGGATTTAACTGAAACAAAGTGGCAAAATGTGAAATTTTTATAAAACAGTAAATGTTACTGAGTAACAATTAGTGGACTGTAGTTATATGGACCTTTTTCTTTTTTTTTTACAATATACTTTATTTTCTACATTCTTGGGATTTTTAGAGAATTGAAGTAAAGCAGAATGGGCCCCACTAAAATACTTGCATCTTAATTATACTTTACACTAAGAAATTCACAACTTTGTTCATTAATCATTATCTGCAGTTCAAGTAAAGTAAACAATTTGGAACTAATAAGTTATCACTGGATTACTGACTCTGAAACAGGAACCAATGCAGTTGAAACCAATGCAAACTACACTGTGTATGAATAATTGGTAATAGAATAAGGATTAAAAAGCTTTATTTATTATGTTATTAGTTTTTAATACAATTGACAGGAGACGGCACTTCTCTGGATGTTTTCATTTTGGAAGGTGTGATGGAAATTTAAGTTTTTAAACTTATTCAATGGACCAAAATAAAGATACCGTAAATGAATATGATAAGTAATAATAAATGAAGAACATCCCTGTGGTTTCTCCTCTATGAATCCTGGATAACTGAGTTTTTCTGCACCTCCTCTCTGGATGTGGTTGGTCTTTTCTTGGGTGGCTGATCTTTTGAAAAATAAAATGCAATGGTTCTTTTTCTTTTTGTGGACCTCCTATGGGCAAACCTGAAAACTTTAAGTGTTAAAATATTTGCGTTGATTTAATTACTCCTAAATTTCAACGGGAGATTATTAAACTAGACTGAGTTTTAATGACTGTCATTTTTTAGTGTGAGAAATTGGGAATATGTAGTGAGAGTGTGTGAAGACACTGAGATGGGTGAGTCTCACTCCTAATGGGTGAGAGTTGACAGCCCTGACACACGCGCACACACACACACACACACACATATATATATATATATATATATATATATATGAACCAAGAGCTGAAATGGACACGAGGAACTAATTAAGGGTCGCACTTTAGGGACAGGTTATTTATAACCTTCCATTCCACAAAAAAACATCACATGTTCTGTTGCACACAGATCTGTAAACTGTTGCGTACAGGGATCTCAATTTCATGTCTTATATATGTCCTGCAGCATTTGTTGTCGTAATGGGAAGAACATGAGCTGCATTATTACTATGAATCCTCTAACTGAGGGAAAATGGTCTCAATTAACAATATTTTGCTGGCAGATGATGAAAATGTGTTTCTTTCAATATACATATTCTTTCAAAGAATATATCTAAAAAAAGAGGAAAGAATCGGTACAGTAAAGATCGTGACATTTCCAGACAAATTTTTCTTCTCTGCATTTCTTTCAGACCAAAATGGATCCCGATGCAGACAAACCACTGAGGATCGGTTTCATTGGTGCAGGAAACATGGCTTTTGGCATCGCAAAGGGCATGCTGTCAGGTCAGCAGACTGGTTGAAAAGCTGAAATACTAATGATTGTGCAAAAAATCCTCATGTTCATTTTGTTACTTTGCAGGAAACGTTCTCCCTGTAAACATCAAAGTCAGTGCACCATCCTCTAGGAATATGAAACGTTTCCAGGTACCATTGTTTAATCCTGCTTCTCTTATTTTTCTAGCTGCTACCTGTGGAAAATGAGCGGTAACAGATGAGAACATGTTGCTGTTTCTAAGTTTAGTAGTCTGACTTTCTCTTCAAGCCCTTTGTAACAAGCTCTGCAATTATGAAGAGAGAAAACCCTCTTTTTTTTTTAAATCAAATCAACAATCGGTTATTTCACCTACCCTGGATTCTGTTCAGAGTATTTTATATCTCCTACTGCTGATGTGCTTTTACAATGATTTCAGGAAGTTGGCATCTCTGTAACTCACTCGAACGCAGAGGTAGTCTGTGGGTCAGATGTGGTGTTTGTCGCAGTCAAACCTCATCTCGTTCGACTCGTTCTCTCAGAAATCTCTCAGTACGTCACCAAGAAACACATTGTTGTGTCTGTTGCTGCAGGAGTGACCCTATCTGTGTTGCAGGAGGTGAGGGCTTCAGCTGTTGTTAAAGATTTCCACATCAATGGGTTGATCTACCATGATGTCAAATATCTTACATCTTTTTGTCTTTTGCTTTGCTTGCTTGCTTTCGTTACAAGCTTCTCCCGGAAAATTCGATCGTCATCCGACTGATGCCAAACCTTCCCTGTCTGGTTCAAGAGGGGGCCCTTTTGTTTACACGGGGGGCCAACGCAAAGCAGGAGCATGGGGATGTGCTTCGCAGCTTGTTGCATTGCTGCGGTTTGGTGGAGGAAGGGCCTGAAGCCTGGATTGATATCCACACAGGGCTGAGTGGGAGCGGAGTTGCTTTTGTAAGTCTGTGTTAAGTTCTTTGTATTTTTACATAATATGACACCCATTAAACCTTTCGATAATATGAATACAGAGTTTGTTAGTAAAATAAACCATATTTACTCTGAATTATCTCCCAAGAGTAACATATATGCACCATGTAAAATGTTGCTTGTTGTAAATGTTGCTTCTTTTTTTCCAGGTGTATCTTTTTGCTGAAGCACTGGCAGAAGGAGCTGTAAAAATGGGCATGCCAAGTTCTCTGGCTCACAGCATTGCATCCCAAACTGTTCTTGTCAGTTTAATCTTCTATCTACACAGTTGTTTTCCAGGTATTCTTGATTAAGGAATCTATTTTCATATTTACAGTTTTTTTTTCTCTACTATAATGTGCTGCAGGGTGCTGGGAGATTGTTACGTGATTCTGGGAAGCATCCAGCTCAGCTTCGGTCTGAGGTCTGCACGCCTGGTGGAACAACAATCTATGGGCTTCACACTCTAGAGCAGGGAGGATTGAGGGCGTCTGTCATGAGTGCGGTGGAATCAGCCACTGAGAGGGCCCGGGAGCTTGGCAGCAAATAGGCAGCAGGAAGGATCTCTACGTCCATGATGGGTTTCAAAAACCACAGCTTGAACTCTAACCACGGAAAGTCTTAAAAATATGCTTTTCTTTTTCTTTCAACAATTTAGTGTTTTATGATTAAAAGAAAGAAAAACATGATTATTTTCTTTATCACTTTGCATCTCATTGTCTGGTCTTTCACAATAAGAGCTTATTTATCTCTTTTCTCAAAATTGAGAAATGACAGCGGATGATAACTTTCTAAGTTTTACTCTAAACTTGTGCTAAAAGATGCATGACTTATATTTTCTCTCCACTTTATGAACCAATGTTCAGAAAATCAGATAAGGTAAGATGTCAACATTTTGGAGAAATTAAAGTAGGTAGCGTTTTGACACAATGCTAATTTGCATATGAGTGCAGGGATTGTTTATCACCATATGAAAAGCCGAACACAGTTATGGCGATTTAATTTTTGTTGAAAATAACTTTTTTTTTTTTTTTTTTTTTTTATAAATATACTCAGTCCTCAGAGACTGAATTATTCCTTCTGCGATGTTACTATTAAATGAGACACAGGTGTAACTTTCTGAAGGACTGGTGTGGACATGTACCCACCAATAATTTCCACTTTTTTCCCTTCTCCGCTTATTTACTTTAGCCTAAGGTAACAGAGGTTGGTGCAGCTGTCTGTGTTCAGAGCATTTTGAGTCTATGTTTTTTTTTTTTTTCCTCTCTCCTGCTGCTCCAGTGTCTCACATCTTGGGGTGAAATCATCGGATCTGTCGTTTTAAGACATTTGATTTGCGGTCGCATTTCACTGCGTACAAAGTAGCTACGTGGTTGGAGGAGAGACACACAGCAGCACTCAGTGAATATTAATTAGCAGCTACTTTGATGTTTAAGTAAAAGTTAGGAGTCGGATTGGTTAAAAAAATTAGAGATCATACTACTTAAAAATCTGTTAGACATACAGAGCTTTTTAATAAATTGTAAGATTATAAAAGTTAGTATTATAATTCAAGAAGCTTGAGAAAACATTGTTCTTTTTTACTAGTTAAAAAAGCTGGGCTTCTCAGAGGACCATGCCTCCCAGTTACAGGTTAAAATGAACACATTTTCTTATTGTACAGACAGAATCAGACTGCAGAGCTTCTACATACCTTTACATTCTGTTCCTGGCATCATTTTATTAGTAAATAGGTTCATGAGTCTTTTTAAACAGAGCAAAGAGAGAAGTAGGGACAACTGCAGATTTAAAGGTAAAACATATTTACTGGAATATGCAATAAAATATGTCTGCAACTTTACAAGAAAAAAATATGGCTATGCTATATTTAAAATGAAGCATAGCCATAATTTTTCTGGATGGATGGAATTGAATTGTGCTTCTAGGAATGCATGATGTATCGATTTTGGCATCAGAATCTGCTGTTATTCATTATTTGTTTATAAATTGTTTTTGGGCCCTATATATGGAATGCACAAAAAGACATCTCTAAATATAAATATTAGGGTATTATATTTATCTTGTGTTCTCAACAATAGGAAAGCATAAAATAAATATATGTTTGAGCTAATTTTTGGAAAATATAAAAACCTAATGAGAGCGTTCGGGTGGAGTAACTGTAGGTCCATCAGCCCCCACCTGAGTGTTCCCACCAACTTTCATCACAAAATTACACTCCTGCAATTAGAACATGACTGGCATCTCAACCCTCTGCCCCATCCCGAGCTTCCTAGGGCCCCTAGAGCCTGGTCCCCGGGTTGGTAGAGTGATGCATCCAATGGTTTAAAGACACAACAATAGGCCTGTAGGCAACATTATCTGGGTGGGCCCCATATGAAGTACAACACCCCATCCCCGTTTTTTTTTCCTTTCTTCCAGCAGCTGTTCTTCGCTTTTTGTCTTCTGGAATGGTTATGGTTTTAATCTACGCTCTGGATTACCCATAATTCCAAGTCGTGTTGCAATAATTAAATACTCAAATACATCTTTCTTTTAAGATCTTTATTGCAGTTTGAGACATATATCAGTGTATTTTTTTTACCAACCGTCTAATGAATTATACACGGTTATTAACATAGTAATTAAAAGTACCACCGTCTGCTTTGCTATTGGTGTCACCATCATGTTGAAATCTGGCCTGTATTGGTGTATAAATACTGTCTGGTCAGTTGATTTATTATCAGGTGTATTTAAGGCAAAACAAATTACTTTATTTTACTTTGGGAACATTTATTACTCAAACATAACTTTGCATCTGCTGGGATCGAACCCGCAACCCTGGAGTCTCTCTTTCTCTTCTTTCCTTTCTTCCCCCCCTGAGCAGACTATTGTTGCCCAGCTGGGGGCCAACCAAATGTCGGTGATGGGGCCCCTAAGCACCTGCAGTCTCTTCTTACCGATAGTTACGCCATTGGATCCATCACTAAAATGCTGGTGTAACAAAAAGACTGATTCGTGACGTCATTCGGTAGAAAATGGCGGCATTTAATATTAATTTGTGTATCAGATGCTGTTAATGGTATAATTTCAGCACAAACACGCGGGGGTATTAATGAATGACAAGTCCCCCTCCCCACATGCTCCGATTTCACACTCCTCCACCGCTGCTCCCTGCTCCTCCTTTCTCCTCGCTGATGAAGGTTCTCAGTCATCCAGGTCCCTCCTTTCTCCTCCTCCTCGTCACACACTCGGCTGAAGGAACACGAGTTTTCCCCACCGGCCTGCATTCACTACGTAACAAAGACAAAAAACACAGCAGTAAGTAACGATAACGTTGACTGGCAGATATGGCTCAATGTTTTATATGCTTTTTGAAAATGTTAATTCGGACACTGGGTGTTTATAGGGAAGAATAAAGGTGCTAGCCTGTTAGCAGAGGCTAGCAGGCTGCTAACTGGCACGCCTTCAGAAAACCGGCGTGAATGGCCGCTGCTGCTGGTTGAAATTGGTACCTAGTAGTCTACATTCATATTAAAACTGTTAATTTAGTTTTATCACGTATATTAATGTTCGGACGGGGACATTTAGCGCGAGCTAACACCGATATGACAGTGAATTAAATGGCTAATGTTGAGGTTAGCAGGCTGGACGCACTTTGACATGATGAGGCTCTTTATTGCTTCAGATGAAGGACGTTGCTTCCTTTTATAGCGACAGGTTTGTCTTATTTTTATTTAACAAGCTTCATATTCATATCAATATTAATAACGCACTTCAAACAATGAAACTCATTATTTTATTTAGAGATTGATTCATAGTTAATTGAGAAAATTATGATTTGGGAGATTATTTTTTTTAAAAACTTACCCTCCTCCTTAGAAAACGTATTAAATGATTTGAGGCCACTGACTTTTTATTTAAAAACTACATAATGGGAAGGGAAACAGTTGTCGACAGTCATCCATTGAAAAAGAATATTAATCAGAGATTTAATGGAAGGAAAAAAGTGCATAAAGGAGAGAATGACTTATGGAGGTCTGTGAAGTGAAGCCCATTAACAGACCTGAGCTTCAGAAGATGTGTAACTACAACACAGATGTGTTCAGGTGCAGATATCTATCTATGACCATAAGCAAGACAAAATGACATGTTTATGTTAAGCAGGAATCATAATCGGAAAGTTGTAACATACATCAGAGGTTTTCAACGTTTTCCAGGCCAAGGAGCCCCAAACTGATGGCGAGATGAAGCAGGGACCCCCTAATTATATATATTTCTTGTATGAAATTGTTTTATCAAACTGGTCTTTAAGCCTACGTTCACACTGCAGGCCTTGATGCTAAATTCAGATTTTTTTGTGAAATATGTTTTTTTTTTTTTGTGTGTTGCCGTTCACATTTCCAAATATATGCGACTTGTATGTGATCTCCTCTGTGAATTGCATTCATACAGCTTAAAGGCTGATTTATACTTCGAAACCAGGTCGTCTGCGTAGGTGTCACTGTGAACAAAAAGATGTCCCTGCCCCCTCCGCTGACACTCTGCTGCACCTATCCCAAATTGTAGGTGACCGCAGACAGTGCCGCAGGCAGGAGGTTGGCTTGTTTTGTTTTATGACCGAAATTGCGGAAAACAACTTGTGAACTTGGACCAGCTAGAAGAGCGAGGTGCGCGAGAACGATGGGACCCTTTTTCCACCTGGATCCTCGCTCTTTTTGGTCGTCATGTCCCTCCGTTGTCGGACAAACTTCCTCACCGCCTCGGCTGTATCTAGAATCACAGCGTGTAGCGCAGACCACCTTTCAATATCGAGCATAAATCAAAAATGTCTGCGTCAAGCTCGCTGCGACACACTGCTGCAGTAGTACAACCAGCCCTTCGAGCACAGAACATAACATCACTACATACAGGATTAGCTCTGATAAAGACAAAAACTGACTTGTGAAGTTTCTTATGATTGTGTTTGCATTCCTTAACATTAGAAGGTCTAAATTAGGTTTTTTTTTTAGGGTTTATACAAGAGGCAGGGAGAATGTATTTGTCCTGTTTAGGTAAGTATTTTCAGGCTTTTCATGCTAGGTGATTAAAAGCCCCAAACAACTGGATTTATTTAGTGAAGATTACAATTGTGGCTGGAATAAAACCTTTATGCCAATTTCTAAATAATATTTCTGACCAAGGGCTGCTCAGTGGAGCAGTGGGTAGTACTGCTGCCTTGCAGCAAGAAGGTTTTGGGTTCCATTTCCGACGCGGGGTCTTTCTGCATGGAGTTTGCATGTTCTCCCTGAGCATGCGTGGGTTCTATCCGGCTTCCTCCCACAGTCCAAAATCATGACTGTTAGGTTAATTGGCTTCTCTAAATTCTCCTTAGATGTGTGTGTGCGCGTGAATGGTTGTTTTTCTGTGTTGCCCTGCGATAGACTGGAGACTTAACCAGGGTCCAGCTGGAGATGCGCACCAGCACCCCTCACAACCCCACTTGGGATAAAGCTTGGCGGAAAATGAATGAATGGATGGATTTCTGATTAAATGCTTATTTATATATCTATAATCCTTTATGACTAAGACTAGACTGAAACTAAAAGAAGCTGTAGATGAGCAGAGTTTTCAGTTCTTCTCCATGGATTTAGTCTAAGACGTGTAGTTTAAAGGATAAGGCTTAATCAAGCCCAGTCTGCCATAATTAAAGAAAAATTGTTCAAATTTAATCTCTGATTTACCAAAA